TTCTTTCACTCATGTATTCTTTACTGTCAGACTGGTAATGCTTTTTGTTTCTACTAAAGTGAATCAGCCACTTGTTTACACAGTTCTGGTTTTCAAAACCTTATGTGCAATTAACAATTAGTAGAAACCCAAGTGGTCATTGTTTATTCTAGATCTGGGGCATAGAAACAAAAAGCAATCGGCTCTACTCAGTGGGACGTCAATGGTAATAAATCTGCACGGCCGGCATATGGTCTGACTTTTGCAAACATTGCAAAGAAAGTGCAAGATTGTCAAACATTCTCATTTAGAGTACATTTGGAAAAAACTGGTGTGTCCACAGAAACATGAGACAGCATTGAAATATTGTTAAGTGAGTAGGCCATTAGACCTTTGGTGTGTACAGTAAAGCTCTGCTTATCCAGATGCAGAACCACCTTGGGCAGAATAGTCAGTGTGGAAAAAAATTAAGCATGATTAGCCCAAGCCTTGGAGTATTACGCTAACCAGTTGTCCACACTGATGTGCTGACAAGGCTAAACTGACCTGCACCATATTAGCACAACAAAACAACTTCTCAAGGAAACCGGCCACAGTTTTCTATGGGGAACCCAAACCTACTTCATTACCTAATCTACTGTAGGCCTAATCCTGAAAAATAAATGCAGACATAGGATGTTATGTGCAGTCAATGTGGTTCCCTTAAGCCACCTCAAAAAATGCTGATAAGCTCAAACTCTCATCATAACATCACTCAACAGGGGAGACAGGTCATCTGGCCATGTAAGTTATTTTAGTCACAATACTATCAGAGAAAATATTATTTTTATAATAAAATGGTACTTTTCTTTTTTTAGATTGAGTGGAGAAGGGTTAAATTCTGTTTTTTCAGGTTTTTGTTTCTGTCTGGGTGTCCTTCAAGGGAGAATTTCCCCTAACGTCCTTGTCCTGGTGAAACATAGGCATTGCTGTGTACTAAACTCTCTGATCCCATTTCTAGAATTGAAGTATTCTTTGGATTTTTGAAGGATGGGAAGAAATCCTTCAAAACTGTTTGATAGCAATGACAAATATGTCATTGTAGAAATACATTTCTAGAATGTATTTTCCATGTATTCCTTCAGGCAATTGGCACTGCCATAGACTCTCTAGTGGATAACTATCAAAAGGGGGACAGGGGGATATAGACTCTCTAGTGGATCAACTAGAAAATGGGGACAGGAAATTCAACTGATGGCTATTCCCTGTAGGTGTCATCAGGACAGAAAGTGAGGGAAAATATGCCCAAAAGAAACAGACCCCAGTACAAAGACAATGCCAGAAAAAAAAAACTGTTCTCCGCTCTATTCAAAATGAAGAATTTTTAATGGCATTCCAGTTTTAGGGAAGGTAAATTTGAGGCAATTTTAAAGGCACTATTCAACTATTTTTATTTAATTGATTGGGGAAACCATTGCACTCCTTGTTGATATAATCCTAAAATAAAGTAAAACACTTTTACTGTATGGTGTTATAGTTGCGACAGATTCATAAAGAAATACCCCCATATCGGTGATAACAAAAGTGGAAGTACTCAAGACCTCTTCCATATTGGAGTAAATTGCTGATTGTGTTGCATCTTTGAGACAATTTTGTGACAAACTTTGTAAGTTCTGTGGAAATTATATTTGATATGTTTCCATTACTCTCCAAACTTTTCCATATAGCCTCTCTCTGCCTGTAATAGTTGGCCAATTTGACAGAACTGATGCAAGCATCTCTCTTCCATAGTTATGGCAGATTTATATATACCTTACTAACATGCACATTAATCTGTAGCAAGTTCTCCCATTTCTAAAGAGTAACTATGAATTGTAGGACATGTTAGTAACACCAGTGACCCTCAGATCAGCAATATACCACTTAAATATAGAGAGGCAGATTGTGGCAACACTAGCTGAAAACATATGTAAGGGTTTTTAAAGGACTACAAAAAATATATTTGTATTTTTTTAAGCTCATGGAGTGATTATATGGATGTAGGTACACATAAATGAGGGCCTCTTAAAAACATGTCAGTTGTATTGCAGGAGGCAATTAATTATTTTGCTGCCAGTCTATCACCATGCTTCTCTAACCTGTCCAAAGCATGAAAACAATGACCACTAAACATTAACTTTTAAGACACGTTATTAAAAAGGTTATTGGAAACAAGCACAACATTCATAGCTTAGCTACTATTATGTGATTAAATATTTTAAAGCTATTGGCATCTGTATAACTAGCAGCTTTCCAGATCATATAGATTTCTCTTGTGACTGAAATAACTTTTTAAATGGTTAAACTTTAATTTGGCAAACTTTTTAAGATTGTTTTATATTGGGGGTTGATGGTCCCTTTTAAACCTGCATGTTATTAATTAGAGGACCCTCCCTTTCCACCTTTTGGGCAATACTTTGGCATAAATGGAGTAAGGGAACAGACTGAAAGTATATTATTATAGAGGTGGGTTCTCTGTAGTAGTAGGAAAAAAAAATTATTTTAAGTTCAGCATTGTGTTTTCCTCCCATACAAGATGGGTTGACGTCTGAGTTTTACAGTGACGGTATATTCAATTCTATAGCAGAGTGTCTAGCTTACATTATAATTACTGAATGTGCTCTAAGAAATAAAAAGGTAACCCTGAAATATGCACACGGTTTTTGTGTGCAGTGCATTTGGTATGTTAAAGTGCCCCTTATAAAAACAAGGAAGGGTTTCCTAGGTAGGCATATGTTTAATTAAATGTAGCCTGTATAAGAATCCTGTGTACATCAGACATTTACAATGCTTTCAGAAAGCTTCCTGTAGCTTTCTTGAAGCCTTTAAACTATCCTTTAGTTCACTGTATTTTGTAATGTTTAATCTTGTAAATCAATAAAAATAAAACTATACTTTAGTTCAGTTTGCGGATATTAAAAAGAGAATGGTGGGAATGCTGGTTGACCCCTTACAGACACTGCTTGCAGCCTTCAGCAAACATTTTGCTATTAAGTGCTATTAGAAACATGTTGAAAGCTCCTTAGCAGCTTGTTTAAAGTGACAGCCAGCATCCCATTACAATCTCTATTTAGCACTTCCAAATGGAGCTGGAGGTTGCTGTAAAGGTTTCAAAAAAGCTGATTAAAGTTTGCTGTACACACTGCTCTTATACAGGCTGAAGGCATTAGGAGACAAAATATTCCAGAGTCCTCCAAGTTTCTACAATGTTCTGATTTTTAAGAACTCCATAAAATGGGGAATTTGGAAGTCGATTATAAAGAAATGTGGGCAAGATTATATTTACCCCCAAGCCCCTCTGTAAAGATTACCAGAATTAATTTCAACTGCCATGCTGCCTCTGCTATTCAAAAACTTTCTGACAGATCCTGACACAATATTAAGCAAAAAAGAAAGGGGAGGAGATGGGCAGAAGAACTTCCCAGTGAGGCTCAGGAAAAAAATTAATCTCATCTACAAAGTTCAATAACAACCCTCCACTTAGAAAGACTCTTATTGGTTTTGTGTGGAGCCGACATTTAATTAGCTGGCATTTCACAATATACAACACTCTGGAAATAGCTGCGCTATTACTAACATGATACCCTACCTTTAAGGCATTAAAGATTCCAAAACAAAACACATAACCTTAAAAATAAAAGACTTGCAACTTTAACACTAATAAAACTAAATTATGCACTACAGAGATATGGACATTACGAAGCAAAAGGCAATTTACATCACATAAAGCAAATGGGGTATTAAAGAACTTAACAAACAATAGACACATTTACTTGGCAGCAAAGTTGGCCATTCTACCAGGGCACATAAAAAGAAAAAAATATAATGCAGACGATGTGTAAGATATATATATATTTTAATAAGGATATTTTTACCCAGTTCTTTACCCTAACTGTATTTAAAAATAAGTACAGGTCCGTAGAAAAAAATAAAATTAAGCTCTCTGAATATTGTCCACGGGACTAGCAATAGATAATTTAACAAATTTTTTTTTTCTATAGGGAACCATATTTCCAAACTTTCAAGACACATTTCAACCAGAGACCCAGGAGGTAGAGCAGTAGGGAGGTGTTGAGACTATGCCAAGTAAATCCTGAGAAATTCCATCAAGTTGATTTCCTAAAGAGTCTGAGCATATACATTGCACTTGTACTTAAAAATGTGTTCTCTCTTCTTGACAAAAATATTAGGAATATTTTTTTATTCACAGACAGTAATTTTTCTGTGAAACCTGTAAAAAGTTGAAAAGTTTGCTTCTAAAAACAAATACGAAAACTTTCTATGTATTAAAACTGTAAAAAGTTGAAAAATGTGGGGCTTTAACCATGCACAAATTTGTGTCCCTGGAATTTCATTGAGACTTGTGTAGACAAAAAGAAACATGTTTTTCTCTACTCGGTACATGTACAGTAAGAGAGTATAGCGTCTATGACGGACATCCCAGGCCTAAGTGGAATGAGCCCTGAAGTCTAGCTAGGGCAACATTCTTATTTAGGAACTAGAAAAAGGAGATACCAACACATATACTAAAAATACCTAAGTGCTTATAGTCCAGTTTTTTCTTTGAGAAACATCACACCATAAAACATCAGATTAATGCATGAAACATAGTCTACATAGGAATTTACAGAACACCAACTTTTAAAATCCATTTAAATTTGAAAACTTGTGACGCACACTTTTTCAGTTAAGCAACTGCTGTCATGTGAAGCCTTACCACAATAACTTTTCTCATACATTATATAAAGCATTAAATGATATTACAGATTGTTATTTCAAGCTGCAGTAGCCCTTTCATTTTTCTGTCCAAATGTCTGAATATACCAATATGGCATACATTTTTAAAAAGTATAAATATAAAGTAGCTTAAACTATTTATACACAGTAATGAAGATTGACACATTTTTTTTCCTTTTACCAAGTCAATTTTTTTTTTTTAATTAATGACTCTGCGCTTAAGTGGTTTTGTAGTGACCCTGATAAAGTAAAAAATATTTGTTTTATATTTGACAAAAATCTTAAAGTGAATGGCTATTAAAATCATGTACTTTCTCAATATTTTACATTTTACTAATAAAAGCATACACATAGGCAAGCTATGAAACGGCTACAGCAGCTTTGAACATTGCATCTCTGAGCAGATTATGGCACATGTGAACTAGGTCTAAGGAAATCTTTTCTGAGAAAAACAAAAAAAAACAAACCTCTATTTAAAAATCCCCTACATTCCGATTCTACAATTGCATGCATTAAACCTGCAATGGGCCATGTTTTTAATCATGAATCAACGTATTATAAAGATTTTTAAACCAGAAGGCAGGAGAGATTCCCCTGTAGCATGACGGCTGGTATGCCATTCAAAAGCTGACGGAGTTTGGCCATATAACTATCATACATGTGATACACAAAAATGCTAAGTAGCCAGTTTAGCAATTTGGTTAGAGTACTTGCAAAAACAGACATTGTAAGAATTACGTATTCTTTTATTTCTGTTAAGAAAGCTGTGAGCTGCCCATCTTAAAAAAAACGACCCGATCTGTACAATAGGAAACAAAATATGATGTAAGGAAAAGAAAATAGAAAGTCCATTTGTAAAAACTGAGAGAAACTGCTAGACGCAAACAGTAGCTTAAAAAAGGCACAACTTCCCTTTTCTGAATACACTTGTAAACTTTCAGCAGATTCCATGCATCAATCAAATTCTGGCTTTTCCTAACAAGATAGGAAAAAAACAAAACACCCGACAGGAAAATGAAAGAAAATAAAAAGCAAAACAAATCTATCCAAAGCAAAAATTGCTACCAGGTTATTTCACAATGCAGACTGGTTTAATTATCTCTTATTCTTCCCATTTCATTCATAGGAGTGAAATGCTGAATTTTCAATAGTCCAAATCTTGGCCCTCTGTAAACCACATAAACTGTAGTGCATAATTACATTAGGTACACCGTTGCAAGGACAATTACCACGTCTGATTTTTCTGTTTCAATACAGTAAAAGCTATAATTTGACTTATTCTTTCCTTAAGGCAACTTTTTATGCTTATATATTTAATTATATATAATTTTAGTAAGGCAGTCACTTCTGATGAAATAAAAGTTTTCTGATATTTCCAGATGAGTATTTTGGTATCTGATTGGTGATAATTTCCGACAACATCTCTGGAAATTCAACACTCAACGATTTGTCTGTGAAGGAATAGAAGCAAAAGGCTAGAAGATTTTCAACCACCTAGAAAAGAAAAAAAAAAAAAATATTTTCACATTGTGGAAGTTTCCTCGTCTTTTTCAGGTCATTAGCTACTGCAGTTGTAACCTAAAAATTAATTTTTTAGAAAGCCAAAATCAATTTTCTAGTCTCTACATGATGTAAAATGATACTGTAATAGGACCACAAGTTGTTTTGGACAAGCCGGATTACTAGATATATTACTTTCATTGGAGTTATTGAATAAGGTAATATGCAATTTACAATAACCCAGATCAATCACCTTGAACCTTTTTCGCTGCCAAGACCTCTGGAACGCTTTTAGCCTACAGCTGGCCACACCATTTTTGCAATTTTTCACCTTTTTTTATTTTCATTTGTAGGTTTTAGAGTTTGTAAAAGACCCCCCAAACCATATATTTTCGAAATGTGCAGGCCAGGTAGAATAAAAATATGATGCTACTAATTTTGTAGGTCCTGCGATAACTGTGCAAATGTTTGTCAAATCAATATTAAACCTATAAAAATACACAATTAAATTGTAAAAAAGCACATTACAATAAGTATCAGTGCACACAAAAAATAATTTTCTGATTAAATCTAAAAGATAAAACTATTGAGGTAATTTTCGTTAATAGCCTGTCAGCTGCTAATGACAGCTATACATTTTACAGGGGACCCTTCTGATATAAGTGCATGGTCGCTAAAGTAACTATGAGCTTATAGCAGAAGGGTAAAGGTATGGCTTACTGACGTGACCAGCTGCAAGCAGTTGTGTTCCGCCGTATGCCTTACGTCAGTGGCAGCAAAAGGGTTCATTCCTTTTTTGTAATTAAAGTCTGTGTAGTTGCTATGAAGGACTTCCCATTACTGCTCTTTGTTGCACCCAACATTATAAAAAGGTTTGCACCTCTGCAGTGGACTTTGATGCTACACTTAAAGTCCACTACAAAGGTGCAAACCTTTTTATAATGTTATAAAGTTCATTTAAAAGTTAAAGCGTCTGTCAAACCTAGAACTTTTACCTTAGCTTTGTTTTAAAGTAGGAAGGGTTACAACTCCTGTTGGATTTTTACTGCTATTTGGAGCTCCATTAAAGAGATCTATTTTCTTTTTTTTCCCTCATTTCCTGTCCTGCTGACAAGATTTCCACAAAATGGATAGGAAAGGAAAACCTGCAACAGGGACACAGACAGAAATAGAAATCTGACAGGGGTTCTAGCCTAAAGAAAAGCATTTTTGTGTTACTTTTGTCAGCAAGACAGCAAGTTAGAAGAAATCTCTCTAATAGCTCCCTATGTGATAACACATAATATGTGACAGTTTCTCTTTAGGGAGAGATTAGGGGTCTATTAGACCCCTAACGTCACCCTTCTACTCCACTGAAGCTGATGAAGCACAGATGCTTGTTTAGCTCCATCCCTGCTTGCTGTAGCTGGGGAAAGACAGCTCTAAAACCGGAAGTTACTAGTTCATCATCGCTTCTGGGTTCATTCACAAAAGAGGACATCAGTGAACAGATGTTTGCTGGTCTCCCTCCCCTCAAGCAGCTGACACCTGCCATGCCCAGGATGCATGGTAGGAGGGGGCTTGCATATTTCAGAGTCTGTGGACGGTCACCCAAATCACATCGAACACAAAGCCGGTCAGTTTGTGTGGGCTGAAAATATAGCAGTCGGGTGTGTTAAAAAGCATACTGCCCAAGATGTAAGCCTTAAGATCTCACAAATACAGCAACAACCAAGCTTACCCTGAGATGTGATGTAAATATCACTAGAATGGCTTACCTCATGCATCGTATCCATTAGCTTTGTCAGTTGGTAAAATCGCTGCCAGTTTTGACTAGAATTTCCTTCCCTCTTTACTATGGCTTTTCCGAGTTCTTTAATATACGTCATTCGAATTTCCTCGAATAGTGTCTGGCTTTTCAGGCCATCCTTGGGAACTATAAATGAATACACCAGATATTTAGCTAGATTGAAGCAAAACATTTCTTAGACAATTATGCATAAACTTTGTATATATTCTCTGTCTGTTTTATGTTCTAGAAATAGCAAGCTTATTTTCTAAAGTAAAAGAATTGGTGATTCACAGATCATGTAGATGTTGCATTGGACACTAATTTCACCCTACAAATAGTGCCCTTTGAGGCTAGACCAGCAGGGCTCTGCTGTACCCTCAGTTGCGTGTCCTTGTACAATGATTTCCTTTTTCATATCTGATTTACCTAATGCTCAACATAGGATGCATATTAAAGACCGACTTTGCATTCTTGTTTGTCCTGCCAAACTTTAACAGAAAATGACCAATAAGTGTTCTTTTAAATCTACGCTTTACCCATGCAAGGCAAAACAACAGATTCACTTTTATGCTACTGCAGTTTCCATTACTTAATGTGCTTTGCTTCCCTTTCACTCGTGTTACCTGGGGAGGTAATGGGGTACTTTTGAGTACAGGAAAGCATGTGACTCAATTCACCTCCCTCCCTGGTGACTGGCTGCTTGGGCACCCGATGCTGTACTGAGTAAAGGGAATCATGTGACTCATTCCACCTCCTCCGCATAGCACAGTGCAGGCAATTTGCAGCTTAGACACCCTGTGCAGTCACATGAGGGAGGGGAAATCAGCCTCAGCACTATGTAAGCTCCAAAATGCAACTTGGAGCTTAGAGATGGCTTCTTGTCTTCACTCCCTGGAGAAGCAAAGGAAACGCACGTATAAGCAGCTGTTAATACTCTATGTAGTGTCTTATGCAGTTTTTTCTTTGTGACTATTTCTGCATAAACGTATACAGCATATCCATACTTTTTCTTTAATACCCAAAAATACTTGCCTGTACAAAGGAGTAACAAAGTCTTCATGCAGAGGTATTCATCATATGAAATCTGGAGACGAGTCATCTCCTTGACAATCCTGAACATGTCTTGAAATCGCTCATGCATGTATGGTAAGTTCATCCTCTCCCTAAAAAAGAAAAGGAGAAAAATATAACTGCTGCCATCTATGAAGAGGTGATTTTTGCCATGGATGCAAATCAAAAGTATAAATGTCACATGCATTGTTAGAGAAGCTGTAGGAATAGTCATTAAAGCTGAACTCTGGGAACAAACACTTAAAAAAATACTCCTCAATAACTCCAAAGGATATAAATCTATTTTATGTGCACCAAACACCTTTGCAAAACGAGTTATTATGCTGTTACTGACCTCTGCACTGTGCGTCACACCGCTGGCCTCTGCCCTGTGCGTCACACCGCTGGCCTCTGCACTCAACCTTATACTACTGACCTCTGCACTATGCGTTGCTACTGATCTCTGTACTGTGCGTCATACCACTCGCCTCTGTACTCGGCCTTACACCATTGATCTCTGTACTCTGTGTCACACTGCTGACCTGGCGGAGTTAAGGTTGGGGCAGGGTAGGGGTTAGGTTGGGCGACTGGTGGCGAGTAACTCTTAAGGCTTGGCTAGTAGCTCAGGACTTGAAATTTTGAGCCCTTATGTAGATAGATCATGTGTAAAGCTCACCAAAAATGCCAGAAAGAATAAACATGCTTGTTATATTTAGACAATATTGCTTATCCTGGAGTTCAGCTTTAAAGTGACACTACACTCAGGAGTTAAACCTTAAACATGCATTTAAGTATCTTAACTATGAATACAAATGTAGATTATTTGTGTATCACTCAGCTGTAGATCTTGAAATCACCTTTCAATTAGTCCTGACACTGTCCTTAGCCTGGAAGGAGGCTATTTTTGTTCCCCATGGTCTCTGTGTGTGTTGTAAAGTAGCCAACGCTCCAAGCTCACTCCTGTGATAGACTACAATCTCAATACAAATTAGTAAACTAAATGCGAGATTATAGTCCATCACAGGAGCGAGATTGGAGTGGTGGCTACTTTACAACACACATGGACCATAGGGAACAAATTTTGCCACCCTTCAGAGGGAAGTACAATGTCAGCACAAATTCAGAGATGATTTGAGGATCTACAGCTGAGCGATACACAAATAAGATACATTTTTGTTCATAGTTAAGGTACTTCAATGTATTTTTAAGATTTAACTACTGATTTTAGTGTCACTCTAAAGTGTATTTCCACATTCTGTCTGTACTGTGCTGGGAGATTTCATTATAAGTTGTAAATTAAATTTAAACACTGTCTGTTCTAACAAAGGGTTAAAGACTTAGAAACACTGTTAATGAGAAGAAGCTTAATCTGTCTCTCAGTTTAACCCTCTACTTTCCTTCTCAAACTGCTCAGAGTAATCTGACATCTGCATAAAGGCCTTCACCAAAGAAACAAAGAAAAGGTAAGAAATGTGTATTTTTTGAATATTTTGGAGTATGCTGTGTGAATAGGAACAGATAAACACAGAATAGGGATTTCTCAAACCTGACTGCAAGAAATGTCACACTCAAGCATACATAGTATCATTGTGGGTTTTCCTTGATTACTTGTATCAGGACTACACAAATAGGTTATTTCAGAAGATAGTTAATTTGTGCTCTCTTTGTTATGAGTCTAACTTTCTGCAAATATTCTGAAATCCATTATGGGATTCTTTATATTCCAACAATCCCTAAATCTGTCCAACTGCTTTTATACTTCTCATCCATGATGAAAAACAGATGAGAGGTTAAGAGAATTATTATAGCAAATGTTTTTTTGCTTTGAAAGAAAGCTTGCACTGTTCTCAGCTTTTATAGTGACCTCAAATTACTGAAAAGAGCAACTGATAACCTTTAATGCTTAATATAATTGTAAGAAGACAGGGAAATAAAGCATAATGCAAGATTTGACAGTTGCATGCTTTAGAGAAGTTAAAGGTATATCAGATGGAAGTTAGAAAAGGACATGATGATAATGCATGCAGTAACGCATACATTGGGTTAGTCTCGAAAATGGTCATACTACAATCTGATTGCAAAATCTCCTTTAGATGTACCAAAACTATGTCATGTGAAGACAAATCTAAAAACAAAATCTATTCAGTTTGTATCTAGTCAAGTAGGGCCTTGCACTAAATAGTTTATGGTAGGTCTAAAGGAGACTATACAGCCAGATTGTATAGGCCAGCTAGTGTTGCTTGGATATTTCTTGTGCTGTGCCTCAGCCCTGCATATGGGCTCCAAATTTTGAGTCTCATCTTTCAATCACATAGATTAACAATCCAATGAGTGGTAACTCCTAATGATATATCTGAGTATCACTAAATGCATCTACTGCCATCTTAAATTCATCTTTTGCCTTTAAGCCCTGGATTAGCTGAGTACCAGTGCTTATTTTTAGACCCAACCCTGTATGATTATCTGCTTTTGCTTATGGTTTCTGTACCAGACTCTGTCCTTGGATGTTCTACTGTACTGTAAACCTATATCCATATCCTTCGCTCTAGAAGACTTCAGGTCCCAATTCTACAATCAGCAGCCCCTGCTGACAGTTACAATTACCAATAATTTATAATATTCTCAGGTCAACAGTAGTTAGCTTCCTTCTTGCCCTGTTGCTGAATGAATAGCAAGCTCAGGGCATCAGATAAATAGTGTAAATTTACGGTCAATTCTGTGGTTTGAACACTAAGTTTCAACAGCAAGATATAAATGTGCACTTTCTGGACCAGTAGGCCTAAGCCTTCATCCATCAGGGTTCAGGAGACTTCTCACAGATCGCTAGGGGTTAAACAAGTACCAGAGAAACAGGGTGACTGGCCACAAAAGCATGTAAATCAAAACTAATCCTCCAATGACTGAAAAGGTCAGAAGTTATCTAGACTCATTCTTTAGTCATGTACAAACTGAAAACATACACACTGGTGATGCCACACTTTGTAGCAACACTCTCACATCAATCAGCTTACATATTAGATTTATACAAAAGAATGTATATATGGCTGGCCAGAGTTCATGTTCACTTTGAATTGTGAACATTTGGTTAGATTGAACTGTGTAAGTGGTTAGCATTTATTGTGGTAATATAAATGTGCAGTAATAATGTATACGTGTGCACATTTTCATGACTCACATTGCTGCTTTCTTCATTTTTTTTTAATGAACTTTTTATTAGGTCTGAATCCTAGAAAATAAAAATATGCTCCACAGAAAATTCAGTCTGACACCAGGGATGGATTGCAAAGAAGGCTGTAAACAGCTCTCCCCCTCACTGTGATTCTGTGTAACAGGATCACTAAACACCAGCTCTGCCTTTACACACAATACACTGTGTAGGAGGGTTGCCACTATGAATACTAATGAATGGGGGTAGAGTTGTAATACACACACACAAGGTTATTTAGAGGAAAACTAAAAAAATGTAAGTTTCTGTGTTCCTATACAGCAACTGCATATACCTGCTTCATGTATTCTCTGTGTACATTGCTGGCATGTTTGCTAAAAGTATTGGGACACCTGCCTTTACACGCACATGAACTTTAATGGCATCACAGTCTTAGTCCGTAGGGTTCAATACTGAGTTGGCCCACCCTTTGCAGCTATAACAGCTTCAACTCTTCTGGGAAGGCTGTCCACAAGGTTTAGGAGTGTCTATGGGAATGTTTGACCATTTTTCCAGAAGCACATTTGTGAGGTCAGGTACTGATGTTGGACGAGAAGACCTGGCCCGCAGTCTCCGCTCCAATTCATCCCAGAGGTGTTCTATTGGGTTGTGGTCAGGTCTCTGTGCAGGCCAGTCAAGTTCCTCCACCCCAAACTCGCTCATCCATGTCTTTATGGACCTTGCTTTGTGCACTGGTGCGCAGTCATGTTGGAACAGGAAGGGGCCATCCCCAAACTGTTCCCACAAAGTTGGGAGCATGAAATTGTCCAAAATGTCTTGGTATGCTGATGCCTTAAGAGTTCCCTTCACTGGAACTAAGGGGCCAAGCCCCACCCCTGAAAAACAACCCTAGACCATAATCCTTCCGCCACCAAACTTTACACTTTGCACAATGGAGTCAGGCAAGTACCGTTCTCCTGGCAACCATCAAACCCAGACACGTCCATCTGATTGCCAGACAGAGAAGCGTGATTCGTCACTCCAGAGAACACGTCTCTACTTCTCTAGAGTGCAGTGGCGGCGTGCTTTACACCACTGCATCCGACGCTTTGCATTGCACTTGGTGCTGTAAGGCTTGGATGCAGCTGCTCGGCCATGGAAACCCATTCCATAAAGCTCTCTACGCACTGTTGTTGTGCCAATCTGAAGCCCACACGAAGTTTGGAGGTCTGTAGCTATTGACTCTGCAGACAGTTGGGAACTTCTGCGCACTGTGCACTTCAGCATGCGCTGACCCCGCTCTGTCATTTTATGTGGCCTACCACCTCATGGCTGAGTTGCTGTTGTTACCAGTTGCTTCCACTTTGTTATAATACAACTAACAGTTGACCGTGGAATATTTAGTAGCAAGGAAATTTCACGGAACACCTGAATCCAATTATTTGGAGGGGTGTCCCAATACTTTTTGTGTGTTTGTGTAAGTGTGTGTGAATTTACTTTTTCCCCTCTTAAAATAAAAGCTACAGTTGTGCTGTTTACAGCACTCTGCTGTTCTGGTTATGCAATATGAACCCAGAGAGAAGCCATAAAAGGGATACAGTTGGAGGAAGGAATGTTTGATTCCAAGTCACAGCTCTGAGTATGTGCTAACAGACGTAATGCTCTTCAGCAGTACGCTCACTAAGGAGATTAACATCTAAAAATGCTACACTATTTTCAAAATATAACAGACAAAAACTACGCTATCAAAAAACCATTATAGGTAGCTCACAGAGTAGTGTGTACTGGTGCTTTCACGCAGTGTACCCATGCCTCACAACTTAATGATGTCTCTCTCTAATGCAGCAACATTGCTTTTACATTACACATATACTACTTTCTGTTTTTAAGAGTACTACAAAACAAAAACACATTGGCAAAGGACCAATAAAACAAACAGTATAACAACCCCATATTAAAGAAACCAAA